TGAATGGCCGTCAGGGAGGAAGTCTTCATGAGGGATCTCCCTGGTGCGTTGTGTGTTGTCAGTCGCTGCCGCTGCCCACCTTGACGCCGCCGGCCGCTCACCACCGCCGTGAGATGCACTCACCTCAGACATATACACATACGAGTGCGGCGAATAAGGCGGACAGACACTTAATTGTGTGTTGACTGACCTTTGCTGTTGACTGACCGTGTGCAGGGACAAGCCTCAAGGCCTGCTGCCGCTGACTCCTTCACTCACTCACTGCCTGCCTCCCTCCCTCCCTCTCTCACTGTGTGCCTGCCTGCCTGTCGATCTACTCGCCCGCCCGCCCGCCCGCCCGTCTGTCTGTCTGTCTGCCTGCCGGCCGGCCGGCCGGCCGAACGAAGAGTCTGCCTGCTGCATGCTGCATGAATGGCTGACGTGGGCCACAATGGGAGAGAGAGAGAGGGAGGGAGGGTGGCAGGGGGAGAGGGACAGGGAGAGAGAAGGGCCACTCACTTCTCTCTGGGATGAATGGCTGGATGGATGGTCAATTAGTGGCTACCTGCTTGACAGACAGACAGGTCGATGAGCTGACTCTCTGGCTGTGGGGTTGGGGGGGAAATGGCTGTCAGATGCTTCACCTCCTATTTGTGGGTGTGTCGTCTCTGTCTTCCCTTTGAGCCGTCACACACGGGCGGCTCACAGACAGACACACACACACATCTGTCCGTTCGGCTGATTGGAAAGAGGGATACTGTGTGACGTACTGTGTGGTTTTCCTGTGTGAGTGTGTCCCCTCTCCCTTTCCGGGCATCTTGGAGGCAACCCTCCTAAATGGTGCTTTGGGTGTTGGTGCTTTGGGGTTGCCGGGCGGCTGCAGAGATGCGCACAAAGGGAAATAGACAGACACATAGGACTGCAGTGTGATGTTCCCATCTCGACACACACTGACACACACGAGTGGATGAATGGGAGAGATGGGATGCGCGCACAAGTGATTCTTTGATGTGCATTGTGTGCTGGTGTGCTGGCTGTCAGCTCTTTGATGTCCACGCCACACGTTGAGTGATGATCATCTCTCTCTGTGTGGTGGCTATCAAGCGTGGACGGATCCCCCCCCC